AAAAGATTATGCAGGTATATGTCTGACTATATGATTGTGTTCAAACACTATGCTTATATATCCTATTCGTTTTTGCTGGTTTACATTCTTATCTCATTCCAAAAACGTTAGAATGATTGAAGATTAATTAAGAATTTGATTTTTTTATTTTGTTTCTTTTTTCAGTATTTAATTCTATTTCCTATCATACTAGATGAATTAATTTTCTGCCATTTCCTAGCTCTTATTTTACATTAGTAATATTTTTTCTTTTTTTTATGCCACTTATTTTTCCGAAGGACTGTGAAGAGTTTCTTGATGCCTACAAACCATAAGTTATCACGCTTTTGAGGGAGCCTTTTTTTAATTGATAATAAATGAAGAATTTCTATCAAGTTTTCATAGCTCCGGTGTTATTTTCTGATATTCTACAGCTTTTTTTCCTCCGCTACTCCCTATTTCTCCTCTCCTCCCAATTTCTTCTTCCCATACTACTTTGTGTATGCGCACGCACTGCACATGTATGCAAACACACATGGGGAAGAAAAGACAGACAGTGTCTTCTATCAAATCATGTATGCCATTAGCCAGATTCAAAATAACCGCTTAATATTCATCTGCACATTACATTGGGAATTTAGAAAGAAGTGTGCAGGTGTTGTGTCTGACTGAACAAATCTTTGTATATATACACATGTTTGTAAGTATATCTGTTCCTGCCATTGCCATATCCATGCCACTTGATTAGTGGATTTTCTATATAGTGCACATCTAAAAAAATCCAACATCTGATCATTGCTGTGTTCCATGAACAAAGTTAGACGGATTGATACCATCCCCACAACATAATTTAAAAAGATCAAAGTGATAACTCATTTATTTGAAAAACCTTCAAATCAGGAATAAGGTTACCAACCTCTGCAGCCATTCGAGCCCATTTGTTTCCCATATTAGCATGGAGTTCAATGATGCGGTTCTCTTCCACTGGAGTGAATGAACCCTTCTTCAGATCTGGTCGTAGATGATTCGCCCATCGCAGACGGCAGCTTTTACCACATCGGAAGAGCCCTGAGTGCTTCTGGACAGCATTCCAATTCCCCTCTCCATGCTTCTTGACATAGTCTATCAAAATAGCATCTTCTGCAGAGGTCCATGGGCCTTTCTTCAAAGGAGTAATCCCACCCACCATCCCCCCACCATTACCTTCATCAGCTGCGGGTGAATCTTGACGACCCTTGGACCTCTTATTATCCTCAGTCCCATTCATCATGCTGCTCATCTCATGAATATGCCTGAATAGATGAAATAAGACAACTTAAATAAAGCTCAAAACAGTTCATTGCAAATCAGAAAAGGTAAGTAACATAAAGAGCAAATCAAAGAGATGAGAATAAATTGCCGTTTTTGGACGCAAAGAAGACGACAAAACCAAAGGTGAAGTCCAAACAATAATGTGAACCGCTAGACATTTACATATCCACGCAATCCAGCAACACAATCCAGCAATACAAGTAATCCAAGCAACTCCTTACAGATTACAAAGTCAAAACCAAAACGCTTTTAATACTGAGTCTATGAGATATTATTTCTACACTAATACGACAACTTTGCGAAGATTCTCTACACGAATCCCGTGTAAAATTAATACATTTGGCCAACTCCTTGGCTAATACATTTGACCAACCCTTTGCTATATTCAATTTATAGAAAATACATATATTCGATTTATAGAAAATTAAAGTCAATTAAAGCACAATACTCTCGGTTGTCCAGACTACTTCCTACCTTTCTTTGCTTTAATTTAATTGATATTCATATTATTACCACAAACAGATAAAAAAAAAAACAGTAAACTTAAAAGATTACTTTTACCTACAAATTGTTGAAGTCAGGTGAAGGTTGACAAATTCCAAGATCAGAAACTCATCAACTCAACTAATCCCTCTATAATCCCACTAAATCTAACATCACAACTTACAACCACCTCCAAAAACTTGAATGAAACAATGAAGAAACAAAACCCACATCAAAAACTGAAAATATAAAAACCCTTCAAGTATTAAAACTCAAAAGATTTCGACTAAGTACTGAAACTGTAACAAAGTGATGGGTTCACAGTTTTTCTTTTATGCTGTTTTTCTTTACATTTACAGAAATGATAGCTGAAAAGAACCGAACATAATCAAGCTCAACACACTGAAATTCAAAGCTGCATACTTACAGAAACAAGCAATTAAAACAGTAAGGAAAAAAAAGACAAATCATGAAAGCACACAATACTCAGATCCATTAAAGCAAAATACATACCATAAAACTCTACCACACATCCAAACCAAGTCTAGAGTCTGAGCACAGAAAAGGGTTTTTGTTTCTTTCTTGCTCGCTGAGCGGAGTAGGAAAAATGGGGGTTTAAAAATAGAGAAAAAAAGGGGCCATTAAAAGCAAAAAAAAAAAAAAAAGTTAGCAGGAAAAAGAAAACCAAGTTAATTAAAAATATTAGATGGCTAAAAATGAGTAAATGTAGGAGAGATTCAAAAGGAGATATCAACAGCAAAAAAGCTAAATATCTCCTCTTCTTCTTTTTTTAAAAAACAAACAATAAAATTTTTAGCTTTCCCTTTTCTCCATGGTGTGTACTTCCGTGGTCCTTAAAGGGGGAGAGAGAGTTTGTACTCTTGTTCATAAGGTCTTATAATGGTATGAAAGGGTGAGGACTTGAATTTAATCATGGCCCCACTTAATCCTTACGACTATTAATTATCAAAAATCATCAATCATGATGATGAGTTTATTAATTTTGCTAGCTTTTGATATTAATAAACATTTCATTCTCATTGACGGCCCTAAGTCTTCTAAGTATAGTAGAAGTTACATAAATAAATAGTGGTATTACAAATGGGACTCCATTTTTCTTCCCATCTCAGAAAAATAATTGAACTACGTTATCGAGGGAGGGGGATAAGAAGGATTTGTTCATCTTTTACTACTTTTGATACGTAAGCAAGCATGATTTTCACAAAAATAAAAATTATTAATGTTAAAAGGGATAAAATCTCTCATTGAACAGATAGCTAGCTACGAGCAAGTTGCTCAGGATTTTCCCAAACTTGAAATAAGCCAGCAAATCCCACGTCTTTTTTCTTATTTTTTATTGGTAACAATTAAATATTGTTGAAATAAAATGATTTTTTTATTCAGAAATCATAGTGTTTTAAAAAAAATTAAAAAAATAATTTTATTGATTTTTTCAATGCTTTAATTAATTAATTTTTATAATTTTATGTCGATTTAATATGTAGATGATACAATAAATTTTAAAAAATAAAAAGTATTATTTTAATATATTTTTAAATAAAAAATACTTTAAAAAATAATTATAGTGTACAAACACATTTTTTTCAATATATATATATATATATATATTAGGTGAATGCAAAATCACCTCTCTCTCTCTCTCTCTCTCTCTCAAATAACATGGAAAAGTCAGGCATCATTCAACGCAAACTCAAACTGTGCTAATTGGATTCTTAGCGCCTGTGGCCACAAGGAAACTATGCGCCGAGGGAAGGAAAGGGTGACATGGGCGGCAAGTACTTGTCTCAACTGCCTCTTTCGAGCCCTCTGGTTGGTTTTTACCAATCTCTTTGTACTTCAAAAAGCGTTTGGGACAAAAGCTGATTTTATTCCATTTCCACAAGGACCATAACCAATTCAACGGTTCACAATCTTCCATCATCAAATTTCATGATTTTCAAGGAAAAGCAATCTAAATTACATGACTTTTTTTTTGGGAAGCAAGTTACAAATGACAAGTGTGATCCACAAGCAGCACATTACAAGGTAGGCTCTGGAAATTATTTGCCAGATGATCATGGTGTTCTCTACAAGTTGCAAGAACATACTCTAGTGACCTTCAAAGTTTTGATATCAAGAGACTCGTGATAGCTTTTGTTTTTTTGCTCAACTATAAAGAAAAACTCATTTAACTAGTCAAATAACCTTTATTTTTTATGTTGGACTCTCATGCATAATTTGCACTAGTTCATGACTGTGTCCTAGATCAACAACCTTTATAAATAAGCACTGGCGCCTAAAATCAAGAAAATGGAAATGGTCTTCTCAAAAAATGATAATACTACAGAAAATGTAGAAAGAAAAAGGACGAAGGGCTTCGCTCAAAGAGTAGTGCCAAGCACAAAATCCACAACAGCAGCCCGCCAAACAGCTTCACCGAGAGCCGCCCACCATCTGACTGGTGTAGGGTTTCAGGGAATCCATTGGAGTTGCAGCTGTTGGACTATTATTTTTACCATTGCCCAAATCACGAATATTTCAAAGTGACACCGTTGTCACCAGTAAATGGAGATGAAACTGAAAGCAGGTTGCAGAGCCAAGCAATCTGTCTCGTGGAATTTGTTTTATTATAGTATAAAAGGCAAGTGGGGAAGGGAAATGGAAGATGAAACAACAGTTTTTCAATCATAGGTATGGTCTGCAAATTGTTCGGTCAGATTAAGAATATATAATTGCACTCACTTGATTGATAACAGTAATAATCAACACCACCTTGGGGCATAAAACTTTTCCAAAATGGACCTTGCAAAATCAACGAGGTTCACGGTCAGCAGCCTAAGAGACAGCATGAAAGCACTAACTAGGACGCTGCAAGTAATTTCGACTCAGCAAGGCAGTCCACATATATAGCATGAAAGCACTGCGGGCTGTGCTCTGATTCCCTGTACGGAGCGTGGAGCAAGGCAGTATTTGAGCAATGGATACCACTCACCAGAAAGCTACACTGTTCTTCACCAGTTCACAATAGGCGACCAGTCGATTGCGATTCCTAATATGAAAATGAGTGTGCTGCCAATGCCATCCACATCCACAGAGGAAAAGAAGCTCATTAGGAGGAAGATAGAATTAAAAGATCAACGACAACATTCACACACACACCAGATATGTAGCAGAACTTTTTTTTAACATCTGAAAATTCAGCCATGCCCACGAGCAACATTACCACCTAATATGAACAATAACAAGCTTTATCATTGAATAATGAATGTACAAGTGAAAAATTATCCAAAGGTATTCTTCTCCTTGACGCCCTAACTGGAGATAATAATTGAACAAAGCAAACCTCAGCACATGGCAGGGTGGAGAAATAAATTAAAGAACGCATGTTCTGTCTACTCAGTAGGTAAGTCTCAAAAGCTGTATGGCAGTTTTTAATTTTCTACACGTTAACAATATATGCTGCGTAGTGGAGTGGAATGTAATGAAAACAGCAAAACCATGGAGGAGCATGATTGCAGCACAAGATGATTCTGCAGTAATTTGTTTGTACCCTGACAGTTACACATTGTTATAAAGACTCAACCACCATTGCCTATCCTCCTGACATTGACTGATTGCTAAAGCCTCATAGCATGAGAAAAGGCACAATCGAATCAGAATTTCATTTTGTGTGGGAATTGAACATTTACATAGGACATCAAGAGCAGAATAATCTTGAAAATAAATAGCCATGGCATCCCTGTAAAGTATCAAGCAAAGGAGATGTCTGACATGCATCCTCAACCTCACGGTTCATCCACCTTTTTAGCATAGTTTCTGCAGCAATAGACACCTGATGCTGCAATACAGCAGCGCCAAGAGGTCCCACCAAATTCAGCCTTGTTGCAGCTGAAAAAGCATCTCTCAATGTGATAAACATGTAAGCCCTCTGAGAAGTTTCACTATCCATGCCAAGAAGCCCACAAACAATCCCAAAGACAGGAGCATGGTGAAAAGCAACAATCCCAGAACCAAGAGACGTCTCTCTCATAATTTTAAGAGATGGAATTTCTGTAAACACAGCCGCAGCCACTCTCATTAGCGCCGATCCTTGTGAAACAGACGCCTTTCGACTTACTTCATTAGTTAAAGTAGCATCAAGCATTCTATCAAGTTTCCGCCAATTATCCAAATCCGGACACATTGCTGCGGAGTACACATAAGGAAGAAGCAAGCTTCCCGTGTTCTCCAAAACATGAATTACATAAGTTTGGAAGTCTTCTGCATTCAAAATCACACGTGCTTGAATAGCTGCCTCAATACCAAACGAATGAGCAAACCCACCAGTAGGAAGAATCGAATCGATCAGTTGCCACTGGCTCCAATGCAAAGAAAAACTCGTACAAGCAGGTTTCTCTTTTGCTCCATCTATTTCCCTCTTGCCTTCCATTGGAAAAATTGAAAACCAGCTTGGCCGCAGGCAAATACTTAGCAGATTAACTATCAAAACAAGAATCAACAGCACAAACCAACAGAATGAACAAATTATTTTATCAGAATATAATCTCTAGGGATGCAAGAGTTTCCAAAATCTATAATTAACCCAGCTAATCTTTATGCCCATTTTGCATATCCTAACAATAAAATTATCAACATCTGTCATCAACCCACTACATCAAATCAGTCATAGAACGTCAAATTCTTTGCAGTTTCAGGAATAATACTCAGAGAAGATAACCAAAATTCAAATCAGCAAACCAAACAAAAAGATATTAAAAAGGAAAAGTAAAAAAAAAACCCAGATACGCAATCTGTATGAAGAACTACAGATTCTATGGAGGTCAGCAGGGACTTCATGAAACGAGGAGAGACTTGCCTGTCTTGTTTTCTGTGACCACGACCTCGCTGCGTGGAAATTCGACGTGACTCCTTATTTCAAGTGTTAGTTTCAATTTACCCACCTTTCTTTCAATTTGGTTCCAAAACTAAGAATCAACCATGCCCTTAAATATAAAAAGGTTTCAATGAGGCTTGTAACAAATACAAATCCCTTGATTATACGCATTTTGTTAATTTAGTACTTCAATTTTAGAAATCATGTCGCCATAGGCTAGTTGCTTAACTTCGAAGGCGTCGTCACACATGCTAGAATAGTTGTCAGATTTAGTCCAGCCATACAATTTGATTCGAGAACCTAACAATCTAAGATCTAATCGAAAATGCATTCATACTCATGCACACTTCACAAAATTTTAAGCATCTTATAGCAAGGAGGCAATACTTGCGCAGGAGACAAGAATTGAGAAGCTTCTTGAAACTTGTATCACTAAAATGCCAAGAAAGCTAATACATAGAATTAGAATTCAACAAAGTTAATTGGTGAGCATCTCCCCCCTTTCCATGCTCCAAGAACCTCGCAGCGCCCTCCAATCAAAGCATCTTCTAAGGGAACAAGGCATGGAGTATAAGGAAAAATCTCGCCTGTCTCCAATCTGATAAAGTGCTCTTTATTTCTTCCGTCTTTGGGTCAAATGAAGTCAACCTCTTTGAATACTTTCTCGTCAGCGTCGATATGCTTCCATGTGACAGCAAAATACTTCCATCTTCCATGTACTCCTTGACTCCATACTCTTTCATCAACCATATGTTATACGCAGGGAATCCGGCATCATATATATAGACACAAAAAATCCCCCAACAACACTAAGGATGCAGTCTTCATGCCTATCTGATCAGGAGGTGCAGTCCTCCGTGTTTGTTCTTTCTCCATATCAAAAGAGCATATGCATTGATGATCTTTGTTATGCTTATTATCGACTGTAACCCAATGTAGAGCTCCATTTACGAAAACGGTTTGTATCCATTTATCACAATAACGGCGTCTCGGCATATCAATCTTTCTCCAAGTATTCCTTCCAGTGAAGATCTGACCAGGGATATCAATTCACCATGGTCTATTTATTAGAATCGTGCACTGATGACTTTGTGAGCAATAGTAAAACCCGCCTGGCTGTGTCGAAGCAACCTGCCCTTGCTCTACTTCTAGTCCTGGAATCTCTACGTACTCTCCCGTAACAGGATTGCACATGTAAAGTATGTTGACCTTGATGGTGAAAGAAACTAATGGTGATGGCTTTAAAATACTTAAAAGAAATAAAACATATGGTTTTATTATAAAATAAAAGCTTACAAAATACAAATACAAATACATACTCTTAATACATAGCCTCTCTTTCTTTGCATACTCTTAATACATAGCCTCTCTTTCTTTCTTGTGTTTCTCTCTTCTCTTTCCCACACTTAATAGCATAACCTTAACAACTTATTTATACATAAATTCAAAGGCAACAGGTGATGGTGGTTGATAGTAGATGACAGCAAGTGTTGGTGGTTGATATTAGGTGGCTGCAGGTGGTGGTAGGTGGTTGATTGAGTTTACCACAACAAATGTTGGTGGTTGATATTAGGTGACTGCAGGTGGTGGTTGGTGGTGGTTGGTGGTTAATTGAGTTTACCCAACTTATTTATACATAAATTCAAAGGCAACAGGTGATGGTGGTTGATAGTAGATGACAGCAAGTGTTGGTGGTTGATATTAGGTGGCTGCAGGTGGTGGTAGGTGGTTGATTGAGTTTACCACAACAAATCCCCCCTTTAAACTCAATTGAAGGATATCATGCCAAGCATGAACTTTAATCTGATAAATACTTCTCCCTTCAATGGCTTTATAAAGATATTTACAACTTGATCATTTGTTTTGCAGAATATCAGTTCAACTTCTTTGTTCTTCACATGCTCTTAGATAAAATGATGATATGTATCGATATATTTACTTCTTTCATGATACACTGAATTCTTGGCTAATACAATCGCTAATCGAATATTAATATAAATTTTTGAAGGACTCTCTTAAGGAAATTCCAAAAACTTCAGCATCTTCCTTAACCATATTAAATGGCATATAGCTGAGTTGGCAGCAACATATTCAGCTTCACAGCTTGATAACGTTACTATCAATTACTTTTTGGATGACCATGTGAAAGATGTATCTCCCATGAAAAAGACAAATCCAGTTGTGCTTTTCCTTTCATCTAGATCACTACCCTAATTACTATCGAAGTAACCAATAAGATTAAAGTTTTCACTTAAGGTATAAAACATACCTTCATTTATTATTCCTTTGATATAACGAGGAATTCTCTTGGTTGCATTCAAGTGAGACTAGTCTGGTGTCTCCATCTATATGCTGATAAGTCCAACTCCGTAGAGTATATCTGGTCTAGTACATGTCAAGTATCTTAAGCTTCCTGCTAAGCTTTTGAAGTAAGTTAGATCAACATTTCTAACTTTACTCTTCCTCAATTTTACTCCATTCTCAACTGGAGTTGATACCGGATTGTTGCTGTCCATCTTGAACCTTTCAAAAATATCTTTTATGTAACCGCTTTGGAATACAAAAATCCCTTCTTCTTTCTGCATTACTTTTAAGCCAAGAAAATATGCCATTAGACCAATGTTTGTCATCTCAAACTCCAGTACCATGCTTTTCTTGAAGTCTTCAAACATGGTAGGATTATTGTCGGTGAATATCAAGTCATCAGATATAGACACGCAAATAATATGTTGTCATTTGCTTCTTTCTTCACATATATTGTGTGTTCATATGGATATTTTTCAAATCCATTGTCTTGAAAATACCTATCAATTCTGGTATTCCAAGTATGCGGAGCTTGCTTCAAACCGTAGAGGGCTTTCTTCAAATTGTATACTTTGCCTTCATTTCCAACTTCAATATATCCAAGTGGTTGTTCAACATATATTTCTTTTTCTAGGAAGCCATTTAGAAATGCTGACTTCATATCGAGTTAATAGTTCTTCCATCTATGTTGTGCAGCTAGTGAGATCATTAGTCTGATTGTCTCTAGCCAAGCTACTGGAGCAAATGCCTCTCCATAGTCAATGCCTTCTCTTTGTTTGTAGCCTTTTGCCACTAATCTTGCTTTGTATCTTTGTACTTCACCTTTTATATTCTTTTTCATCTTATAGACCAATTTGACACTAATTGCTTTTTTTATTTTCTAGTAGATTAGTCAACTTTCAAGTGTCATTCTTTTTAATGACATGTATTTCTTCATCCATTGCTTTTATCCACTTCTTTTCTATGATAGCTTCATTGAAACTAAGTGGGTCACTATCTATGAATAAACAAAATAGAGTTGTATCTTCCATTACTTAAGTGGCATCGTACAGCTCTTCTAGATTTCTCATCCTTCTTGGTCCTTCAGATGAGGATGCTGATGGTGGTGTTAATGATGATTCTGGTGTGTTTCTCCTGCTAAATACAGGAAATCTATGTTTCGGG